GCCTGGCGACGGTGACACATGCGCTGGTGACTTCCCGCCTAGACTTCTGTAACGCGCTTTACGTGGGGCTTCCCCTGAAGACAGTCCGAACACTTCAATTGGTGCAAAATAGAGCTGCCAGGTTGCTGACGGGGACGGAGCGTTATGCTCACATGACTCCAGTCCTCCGTCAGCTTCACTGGCTTCCCATTGAAGCCCGGGCCTAATTCAAGGTGTTGATTATGACCTATAAAGCCCTAAAAGGCTTGGATCCTGGCTATCTGAACGAGCGCTTACGTCCGTATATGCCCGACCGCCCTTTGAGATCTGCGGGAGAGTCCCTTCTCCGGGAACCCTCCATGAAAGAAATTAGGAGAGTAAGTACTCGGAGGAGGGCTTTCTCTGCAGTGGCACCCAACCTATGGAATTCACTCCCCAAAGAGGTCCGCCTGGCACTGTCGTTACTGGTTTTTCGGCGCCAGGTAAAGACCTTTTTATTGAAACATCATTTTAATTGTTAAAACATATGATCTGGCCAGGGCAACTTCTTCTTCCTTCTCCTCCTATATTTTTATTTACTTAATTTATACTGATAATTTTAACCTTATTTTTGTAAATCAATGTATTTTTTGTATTTTTGTATTTAATGGTAATTTATTATGTGCTATTGTATTTCAATGTATTTTATCGTGTTGTAAGCTGCCCCGAGGTTTCAGCAAGGGGCAGCATAGAAAAGTAATAATAATAATAATAATAATAATAATAATAATAATAATAATAATAATAATAATAATAATTTTTCTGACCCTGCAAGTTCACAGAATATCATTTACGAAATCCGGTACAAAGAAAGAACATGCATTTCTCCCCAAAAGTTATTCAGAGAGAACTGCGAAATCATTCAGGAAGAATCATGATTGCGTGGAAAGGAATCCATAAATGAGTTCATAGGTGAAAAGAAATTTGCCTGTAAGAGAAACTCTCCAGTCTTCAGCACTGATGTTATGTAAAGATAGTCTGCTCTCAGTTGGCCCTATTCAAAAGATTCAGAGAGGGAGAGTCTTCTTACGTTATATAATCCGTGAATTCCTGCCAAGGGCACTCCTTGAATGAAGATTCTGAAAAATAAACAGAGATCAGAGAAACCATCCCACCCATAAGGAAGCCCCCTGACAGATATGACTCATGTGGAATTGGGATAGGATCACATGAAACTCTTCTCTTTGCATCGACTTCACACACCCAAGGAAGAAGCAGAAGCCATACGAGCAAAGCAGAGAGCCCACAAAAGCAGAAGCAAAGCTTCCTGCTATGGACAAACCCTCCTGCATTCATTTCGTGCATGTGCCTGTTTAGGAAAGCCCCTTTAGCTGCCATCTAATTTTGCAAGCACATCCATGAAGAAAGACTTGTTTGTCTTCTGTAAAGGGGATATGGGTTACAGAACAGCTGAGGGGCGGATACAGAAATGACGGCTGTCCTATAAGAGACCAAAGCAGCATAGCCCTGGTAGTCCCTAGCTTTGAACTGCAGAGCTGGAAAGGTTGATATAAGATTCCCATGTTTCTTCCAGGCTTGTTTTCCTTCCTATGGAAAGCTCGCCATCTTTCCCTCTGAGTTCAGGAGGATAAATTGCACTGATCTCGATAATGACAAGGAAGGTAATCATTTCTCTTGTCTCTTGGTCACACACAGCTCTCAGTCTCTCTCTCTCTCTCTCCTTCTCTCTTATGTTTGCTTTGCTTCTGGCAATGATGGAACTCACAGGGCTCCTGAATCATCCTGTCACACTTGAAAACCTCCTGACCTATCCTGTCCTTTTTGAACTTCACTGATGCATACATGGGCAAGCTGTGCTCCAAACTTGCACACTAAGATGATTTCTTCTGCATAAGCATCTGTAACCAAACTCGCCTCAGCTCTTTATTGAAAACCTTCTGACCTGTCCTATACACTCTCAGGAAATCTCAGAACCACAGAACCAGGAGAATATACATTTTGATTCACATGGAAGACATTCCATTCAGTTTAAGTAATTGATTGGTAGGACACTGGAGGAATCCCTCCCTGACAGGGAAAAACAACCGTGAAGTTGTGCAACCAGGATAGCAAACTGGCTACAAGCTTCAAAAGCATAGACTTTGTTTTGTATTAGCTGTAGGTCATGTGCAGAGTTTTAAGGCATTGATGAGATTCTGAATGGGTGAGAGGGCAAGGACTATGTGAAAGAACACTGAATCATTGAGAAATCATGATAGGCACCAGGAAAAACAACGTGGCCCACTGAAGGCTACAGGAACAGATAAATAAAACAATCAGGAGTTACAGAAATCTAGCAGGTTTCAATGTTCTGTTATTTACAATAACAGATACAGAATTCCTAAAGCCAAAGCATGAACTGACTAGGTATTTTTACTGTGCAAAGGAAGTGCGGGAACAGGAGCAGGGGAGTTGGAGGGGGAGAGGTATGTGGAATCTACACAGGTCCACTGCCATATGGAAATGGGTGCTGTAAAAGGAAGGGGTTTCAGGGCAAGAGGAGATAGATGACATCTTAAATAAGCTAGAGCAATGGAACTAGTAATATATCAAGTCAGCTTTGATGACAGACAGAGAAGGGATGTGTAGAGGAAAGTCAGTCTTTCCTTGAGGAGGGTCCAAAACAAAAGCAGTTTAGCCAAAGATCATCAAAGTCTCCTTTGAAAACCTAGGGCTTCAGTCAAAACCTCTAAGCAGGGGAATGAAAATGCATGGCTGGAATCTTCCTGCAGGCTTATAGAAATTTATACACCAATCCCTTGTAATGGATTTAAGGTCAAACAACCCAAGCCAATTTGGTTTGCAGAATTTCATGCTTTGCAGAGGTGTAGGAATGAACTTGTCTTTCATTATCTGCTCTAGCAAGAGCATGACCTTGATTCTCAGGCTGACTCAAATCAATGGGGGGAAATGTGCAGGCTTACGAGGAGTTTTCATATATACCTTTGCCTTTCATTAACATGACCTCAACTATCAATAACAATATTGATTCTCTTCACTTCAATGTATTTGTTGGTTCCCTCAGATGAAAGCTGAATATAATCTGATGATGTTCATGCTTTGGACAACAAGGAATTAATTCAATCCATTCTACTCTTCGATTCTTTAATGCTTCCTTCTTGTGAGCTGCTCTCTGCTGTTCATCTCAGGCTTGAAGAGAAGAATGTAGCATTTGGGAGGAAAGATGCAGCCTAACACACCAGCACCGGAGGCTAAGATGGAGAAGACCTCCACAGCTAACATGTTTTTGCCCTTGGTGCTCAAGTAGGCTGGAACAAAGGTCAACCAAACACTGCAAAAGAGCAGCATGCTGAAGGTGATGAACTTGGCTTCATTGAAAGTGTCTGGCAACTTCCTGGCAAAGAAAGCCACCAGGAAACTGATGAGGGAGAGAAGGCCCAGGTAGCCCAGCACCAGATACAACATGATGGCAGAGCCAGCACTGCATTGCACAGTGATTTCGTCAGGAAAGGAATGCATGTCCCACTCTGGGAATGGGGGAGAGATGCGAAGCCATGTGGCACAAATGCCAGCTTGAATAAGGGGGCAAGAAAGCATGATGGAGGTGGCCAGTCTTTTCCCCACCCACTTCCTCATGCCAGACCCTGGCTTGGTGGCCATGAAGGCCACCACCACTGTGATGGTTTTGGCCAACACACAAGAAACCGCCATGGAGAAGATCATTGCAAACATGGGCTGTTGGAGAAGACAGGTCACCTTGCCTGGCTTTCCA